ACAGAATCCACCTGTAAACCGAGGGCATCTAAAAGATGACCCATCAGCGTTTTCTTTAATCCCAGCGATTCCAGCTTGTTCGTCAATTTGTTCATCACATTTCGCAGTCTGAACGATGCGTGAATGAATGTCACTAAAACGAACAACCAGCTTTAAACAAGTAAAGTTGGAGCATTATATAATTTGCTAACTGCACGTCATTATGTTATTTTACTATTAATCTATACTCTGTTATTTTCGATATGAATGAGGACTAAAACAAATATGATAGATACTTCTTTTAAAGTATCATAAAGCGCATGTTGGTGTTAAACATGAATTTCAGGCCTTTTAATACACAAGACGATGATTGTGTTCCAAACTAGCACACATCCCATCGACATTTTAGAATGGTTGAACGAAATGCCATGGGGAAAATGCTTAAATTATTTGTGGCCTCGAAGTGCGGGAAAAAGCCCTCGAGTCCACAAATATAAAAGCGAACTATCTGAGTGAACTCAGCCTCTGAACTTCGGTTCAAGCAAGATTTTGAACGGTACCATAAAACTGAAGCGAAACGTTACATATTCTACTGTTGGTTAAGAATAGTCAATAAGTACGTACTCAGAAGCGGTAAAGCGAGTCCAAAGATGAAAACCAGTACCGAATCTAGCATGCGGACCAACAGAAAAGAGGCAAGCAATATGACGATGATATTTATTATGGGATGGGCAATTTTAAACTGCAGTAGTTGCTCATGCTTGCTAGTGACGTAGACGAACGCTCCGATCGCTAAACACAGGGCAAACAAGCCAAAGCACATTTCTCTTGGGTGGAACACTCTAAAAATTAACAATATGTACATTAAACAAGGAAGCAACCAAAACTGAGTACTCACCCAACAATGAGAAACATAAGTAGGATCAAAGCGAAATAGTTTGTTTGGTAATACAACAGATTGTTGATTATACGGTTTGTCCACCGGTTAGAATCCCTGTACGGTGGTATTTGGAACCTCGCAGAGCCGAGGATGAAGTCATCCAAGGTACGCAGGGGTGTCAGCTGCCAGTCACTCGATTCGCCGCCCATTGTTTTGCCAAAATCTATAAAATTTCAAACCATTAAAATAACTGCCTTTATTTGCAGATTATACAGAGGAAATTTAACGCTTAGAACCAACCGAAATTTTACGAGTGATCTACGAAAAACAAAATACTCTGCCTTATTTGTTGAGTGTGATGCGCGCTAAGATAGCTGCGTCAAAGAACTGTCTCTTGGTGGTAATTAATTTAAATTTTGCAAGTCAACGAGCCTGTTTTAACAAGCTGCTTCCATGTATCACAAGGAAGACACGGTTCAAAATATCCATCCCGATGGCTAGCTGATCTGGAGTGCGTAGACTGTATTCTTCTGGTGAGTAGTATGAGGAACAGATGCCGTGAACTGACAGTATCCGTAGATAATAGTTGCGAAAGGTCGCCTCTTTCTTAACACTCGGATGTCAAAAGTTCTCAAGACCCCAAGTGGCATTCACAAGTGATAAATAGGGAAGTGAACCGACCGGTTCAAGAGGTAGACCAATTTAAGTATCTCGACACCATCATTTCCAGAAATGGCACCATCCAGTCAAAGTCATATAGGATAGTACTAGCCTCTAATGCTTTTGGAAACCCGCGTAATACTTGTTCTGAGAAACAAGTTACTCTTCCCACAAAAATTCCTCTACCTTGCTTTTGTCAGATCGTGTTGTTATGCGGCAGTTATACAGCTCTTCAAACGAACAAACAGAACAGTGACTGAACGGTGCATAGCAGCATTAGCTTCAATCCAAAGTGAGGGTTAAATGGCAGGATCGTGTAACGAATGACTCTATTCTCTACTAGGTACAGCTAATAGAAATTATGAAAAGGAGATTGATTCTGCTAAACAAACTGGTTAGGTACGAATAATTTATTCCAGTGTATGAACCACGTGTGAGGAAGTTAGACGCGTTAGAAGTCGCAGGGGTACCTGCATGAATCGTGGAGGAGCAAGGCTGAACGCAGATCTGCCTTCGGAGATGAATGTGTCAATCTACGAGTAAAAGGAGCTTTACAGCAAAAGTGTGTTCATTACAAACCAAAGAATTCTGTGTATCTGCAAACGACTGAAGGTGATCATTTCAACAACCAGAAAACACAAATCCAGCATTTACGATTTCAGTGCATTACGCTAGCCATGACAAGTTCGTTGTAATGAAACAGTTCGAAAAGCAATGAACATATGTAAAGAGCATAAAAATAAAGTCCGTTTCAATGAAAGCCTGTTATAATGAAATCTATACCGATCTGATCGTACAGATCAACTTAACTACCGACAATGCAACAAACATTAGAATCAAAAATGGACGCATCGAAAGTTTATGCAAACAAACGGTAGACCCAAATATACAGCTTTCATTCGCTACATGAACGCGGCGTAAACTTTCCCTTAATAACCACCATAATTCCTTTCAATAAAGAATTCATTTAACTGCGCTTCGATGCAACCAACCGAGAAAAGAATAGGTGATCGCTGACGTGCGAATAATAGGTACAGCATTATGCATATGTGGCCACGCCAAAGTATGAGACATACTGTTGTGCTGTCTAGGGTGGGGGCGCCATTCAGCATCAATTCGCTTTGATCCATCTGAGATGGCTAATAATCAATATAAGATGTAAATTTAAATTTCAATGAATCGACCAGTCAAAAATATTACTATGGATAAACGACAAATTCAATACTCCACTGTTAAATAACGAATGACTTCTCAAAGACAAAGACTTCCACAGCATAATTTACTACCCCTTGCCCCATTGAAGTCCACTGTTTAAGCCAAATTAAAAATAACAGAGGACTAAAAATAAAAGGCAATCATTAATTGCTAAAAAATCTAATTATTTAAACAAGACAAACGGGTATCAGCAAAAGAAAAGCTGAAATATCTCATACCGTAGGTTCTGCTTTGTCAAGAAACCTACCTATTCGTTGTCTTTGATTATCATATACTGTATATTAGATGCAAGTTCCGTTGCAGTTAGTCCATTGGCTTTAGCGAAAGTAAACGATGCCATGCCGTGCCCTTTTTTCGGTATGTCAACTTTTATGGTAAAATATGCTACTTATTATAAGTTTTTGACATGATCTCTGGAAGGTCTGTTTTCTCAATGTATGTTATATGAGCAAAACGTCGGTACTGGATAGCCAGTGAATGTGAAGTCCTCTAACGTAATATTGTGGTCCCTGCTCCTCCGTGAAGGCCGTTTATGGTTCAGTAGATGGTCAGGTGATGTGGTGTAGAAATAACTGAACTTAATGTATTTCTCTAGCCCAATGATATTCTTTCCACAAACCTAGTGGGCAAGGTGGAAGCCTCCCTTCATTCTTATTTCTGTTGAAGTCAGTGGGTGAACAGTTTTCTGGCTACGTATTTAACTGTGAATGCCGTAATTCCGACTGTTAACCATTGTTGTAAACATGTTGTTGCATCGGTACACATCATCTGCCCATAGAAGGAGCCGAGTTTTTTACTGAAGGGCATGCAAATATAAGTGGACACCCGATGCTTTATTGTACCTTTTGCCACCTGCATATGTGATGAATTTTATTTTTATCCGTAGTTGTGATATTGTTAATTTTTTGCCGGAAAATGATCATGGTTTTTCTAAGATTTCGTCTCTTTGAAATTGGTGCAGTTGGTCTCCCTTTGAACGTCTATCGATGGTTTTTCTCTTTGACATGAATTGAAGTTCGCATACTAAATTCATATGATAAGAATGTGAACGATAGGTTTATTCGTGAGTGATCCTCAGTATGATTAGTCCTTGTCGATCCATTGCTGTATAAAACTCTCCAAGACTTTGTCACTAATTTCCGTTTTCTGCAGTTTGTGTCCATCATGATCTAGCGAACTTCTATAGCGCATCCTGCCATTGTTCTTGCAGTCTTGAAGCCTAAGACATGTCTCTCTGTTCTAACGATGATCGGTTCTTCTTGGAACGTGTTTTTTTCATTGCTGTTTTAACTTCTTCATTGCGCAGTGAAATCACAGACCGTTTTTATGCTTTTATTCATTCATTTGTTTTCCTGTCTTTCCGTGTTATTCCCAACACATCTTTCCACTGCGTAGAGTGTAGTTTATGAATAGCTTTCAGTCTTTGATGTCCATTAGATTAGCACTGAAAGCACACAGCTGATTAAAAACTTTCCTGAGTAATTGCGACAAAGTGTATCTTATGTTCGGAGAGACGGCGAGTGATATACAAAGACCATAACGAAGATATAATAAGACAATATTTCATTATCTTGATCTTCGAATTTTGTGAACTAATGATATTTTTCATCGTTTATGATATCATTTTTCCGTTTTGCTATTTATCGATGTACTTCCTAATATTATTTCGAACTAGGATAAGAAATGAGTTATTGTTTATAATAAAATACATATATTTAGTAATCAGTGTCTACCATGTATATATGTTTGATTTATTTGCTATGTTTAGATGCCAAGAACCAAGATTCGATGAATTGAAGGTTTCCTGTTTCTAGACAACTGCGAGTGTTCTTAGTGAGTACTTTTATTTGAGCACTTTGTCTCGTTCATTTGCATATTTGCTTAGAATGTTTACTCCTATATTAAGTGTGCAGCAGTCAAAGTAGGGGTTCTCATGCCCAAATGAATAGCAATAAATCGAAAGCTTTTAGATTTGTGGTGTATGAACGAAATATGAACCCCTAAACGGTTAATTTATGAATATTAAAAAAAGCAGAATCCAA